TCTATATGGATTTTCTTCAAAACAGTTCATATCGCTTATATAGGATCAAAAGATAATATTATAGAGGTAGTAGACATCTGAATAATTGCTCTTTTTTTGTATTGCCCATATTGTGTTTACACCTTGCATGATCTGTTTCAACATTACAGTCAATATATTCTATATGATCTTCATGTTCGATCATTTCATTGTTTTCCTTTAAATTATATTAATACTTCATGTGTATGTGATACTTACAGGTTGCACTTCTGTAAATGTAGACAATGCAAATTCCCATCGGAACCTTTACAACTAAAACTGTGCCACTTTTACTATGACGTTTCGTAATAAATTATATCCAAGAATGGAAAGTTGATATACACTATAATTTTATTCAAAGATCAAAACATAGGGCTGTGCGGCATATTTTCAACATCTATATACCCGAACTTCTAAGAGTTTAAACTTATACTAAAATTCTGTACTACTCATCCCTTCACTTTGTGTCTTCCTCATAATTCTAAATCCGCCGCTACCATGTGTATTTATACTGGTAACATTCCCAAGTTATGTCTTTATGAGATGAAACATAGAGATCATATCTGGGAACCAGTACAAAACAAAATATTTATGAATATTATATATCTCATCAAAAGGGGTGTGGTTTGTGAAACAGCTGTATTTACAAAGTGCTACCTACAAGTATTTAATCACCAAAAAAGTATTATGAAAACAACAAAAAAGTTTAAAATATTCCTTGTGGATTTAGGACCATTAAGAATTCCTAAGGTTTTTGCAAGAAAAACAAGTTATGGTGCTATATATATGAACTGTGTGAGGTTATATAAGTCTGGTAGAGAATTATTTGACTTTTCGATGTCATACTGCATCTTGATGTACTGATTTTTTTATGTATAAATGTTTCAAATTTTTGTAATAGAGAACTACATTTAGATATAATCGTGCAAGACAAACATTGTATTGTCTTTGGTTTCAAATCTAAGTTTAATGATTACTTCATGGTTGCCTTGGAAGCCAGCAGAGCACCACCTACTAATTACCGTTTTTTCTTTATCATTATTTTAAAAAATACAAAGCAAATGCTTCAATTGTTTATTTATTCACTTCTGTTTTTTTGTAAAATAGAGGTACATTCAATATATAACTGTAAGCATGAGATCCTTAATCGTTGACTAAAATATAGATGGCTATATAGGAATCGAATATATGTTCCTGAAGAACAACGTCTCGTTCATTCGTATTTTAAATTTACAATCACCTAAAGCAAAACAGTGTCCTAACAAAACCACCGAACCTGAAGGTTAATTCAAAAAGGGAAGTCCATCAGGTATGACAAATTTAAAAGTTCTACTATTTCAAGCAGCGGAACGACAGGAAACAAACTATCGTCCTTTTCCGGTTATGAAGATACAAGCGTACTACGAAATGCTGATGATAGAAATTTAGTCATATGTTTCTAAAACATAGTAGGGATATAACTATATAATAACTATATAATATATTTTTTTCTGAATTTCAGAAGTCTCACGAGAATAATAGGCTATATCAAAATACAATGGGGCGTGTTGATATAGAATAGCATAGTTTTATAAAGTTCGGTAAATATGGATTCGTATCATAGTGTCTTAGGATATATATAACTGTGTTAAGATCTAAAATATATATAGTCATCTGATTTATTAAAAAAATCGAAATCACTCATACGACGATAGGTCTTTAAAATGATGCAATATTCCAAGCTCCAAATAGAAACAAGTCTTCATATTTTGTGAATGCATTTCATATCAAAATAATTCAGTAACATCAAATTCTCCAAACAAAACACATTAAGATATGCCAACAGATAACATCCTGACGAAGTTTCGTCTCTTTGGGCAGGCACATGCATATTTAGATTGGATGGACTTAGATAGTTAACCTTCCTAAAATCAAAGTAATTCCACTTACACATTGTTACAGTTACCAAAGTATCACACTTTTGTAAAATATACACAAATGTTGAAAGTTTTCTCATACGAAATTAACATTATTCGTTTCATTATTTTCCGTGCCGTTTACTATTATAATAGAATAGTGTATCTGAGGAAATGACAAATACCTAAAAGTTGTTGTGAACATTAGTTTTTCTCATAAAAAATGTCATAAAAAATTAAATTACTTTTTATGACTAGTAAGATTAAGAATTCATGATCATAAACTGTGAGTTTCCTCTTGCGTAGGATGCTGTGATAGCAGATGTGTCCTGATGGAAACCAAAGTCTTTAGAATTGCAATCTGTGACGTTTCTATTAACCATGGGAAACTATAAATAATTGTAAAGGCTGGTCAATGCAGAGTCATTATAATTTATTCAAATAGATGACATGTATTCATTCAAACTGAAAACCAATGGTCTGAATAATATTTAATCAATAAAACATAGATGGGCGACAGCAAACAACGAGGAACACTTGGAAACAGATGGTTCAGGCATATAAACATTTGTCGCAGTGTATAGATTATTAGGTTCTCAACCCTACCTCTCTTAACCAGGAAGAATGGCATGACTGTCAAATATTAAAAAGAATCGTGAAAGTCAGCTGAAATCAGCTTGTCCATATCGGCACGAAACAAAACAATCACAAAAATTAAAGATAAATGACACACAATACCGATTTTGTCTTTTCATCTTTTTCGGTTTTTGCTATGGCATTGTCAGTTTATTCTCGACTTATGAGTTTGAATGTCCCTTTAGTATCTTTCGCCTCTCTTTCATATATAACATGAATAATGTGATCCAATACACAGGTTTTCATTCAATATAAATAATGTACATAAGAAAAATAGACATCACTTTTGTGTTTTGCCCAATATCCCTGAAATGTGGTTTTCTTACGTGTGTAGTACTACAGTTTATTTAACAAAGAATTATTCAGATGCTGCCTTGATGAGAAAATCATATATATTTGGAAATATAAAAATGTCAAACTATAACTATTTCAAGAATCACATCAACAGGTAGCAAGTGGCATGAATATTTTCATAGTTTGTAGATCGTTATAGGCAATATGTGCATTGGATGACAACGGTTATGTAACCTTAATCCTGTCTTTTTATCCTCGAATGGGACATCATCAAATCCGACTGATCATCAGATTTGGTATAATATGCGGAATACGATCTGCTTATGATTCTGGGCTATCTGATATCAATCCCTGGTTGTGTGTGAATTTATGATGTTGTGTCTTTAGTTTAATGTAGTGTTTTGCTGACTACTGTGTATATTATAGTCAGGTTTATTAAATTTGGCATAGTGTTGCCAGATTATCTTAAACTTATAAGTGTCACTTTGGTAATACCCGTCTCTATTGTTTTTACGTTTTCATTATTGCCTGCCTATTTGATTTCTTTTCTCTTTGTGTGTTTTGTGTTTAAACTGAATAGTGACCTAAGGAATTAAAACGCAATATTGAATATACACACAAAGCATTCATACGTTATCGCCTCATACTCAAATGCGAAGATATTATTTGTTCTGCTAGGATCTAAAATGATACAATTACGAATACAGCAAAGATGCTGCGACAATATGGAGATAGAGAAAAAAAAAAACAACTATAACATGTGCTGGTTCTACCAGAAACCTTATGCAGGTCTGTGAAATTATATATTTTAAAATAGACAACACTTGGGTCGACCCAACCAAACAACACAAAATTCAAATGATATTTATTACTTTTGTCTGTTTTTTTTTTTTTTTTGACATGAAATTATATGGCCTCGTTAGCATCATTTCCTTTTTGGAGGGATTTCAACTGTCCCTATTAAAATTACAAATATAATTTATGTATGTAATAATTGGTAAACACCTGATACAAAAACCTTAAATTCAGATAAAAAGCAACTTATTGGTCCCTGTTTGATTGCTGAGGGTTTTTTTACGGAGAAAATGAAAGCTTTAAAAACATCACATTGATAATAATCATTTACTATCTACTTACTTGTATATCATTACACATATAATTATTAGGACAGCGTATTCCTGTGTATTTTATTATTTTTATTGTTTTAAATAAATAACCTTTATTATAAACAGTATCGTTATTTCATCCCAATTCTTTTCGTTCCTATGTTAACATAAAACCATATTCAACAATATACATTTTGTACCTGCGTCTGTCTTGAGAATCAATCCCAAAACACCATACAGGTCACGAATACAATAAAGCAAATATGTCTCGTAACCACCGAATTACTCACTATTTATAGACATTAAATTGAGAATGGAAATAGGGAATATGTCAAAGAAACAACAACCGACCAAAGAGCAGATAACAGCCGAAGGCCACCAATGGGTCTTCAACGCAACGAGAAAATCCCGCATCCGGAGGGGGTCCTCAGCTGGCCACTAAATAAAATTGTGTACTGGTTCAGTGAAAATGGACGTCACACTAAACTCCAAAACATATTAGTTAACTAAAATAAAAAAAAAACATACAAGACTAACAAAGGCCAGAGGCTCATGACTTGGGACAGACGCAAAAACGTGGCGGGGTTAAACATGTTTTGTGAGATCTCAACCCCCACCACCCCTATATCTCTAGCCAATGTAGAATAAAGAAACACATAGCAATACCTACAGTAAAACTCAGTTTAAAAGAAGTCCGAGTCCAATGTCAGAGTAGGTAACAAAAGAAACTAAGGAAAATGACAATGATACATAAATTAACAAAGGACTACTAGCAGTTACAGACAAGCCAGCTCCAGACCTCAATTACACTGATTGAAAGATTATGTCTTCATCATTGGAATGCATTTTAGCAAGTTGCACTCAAAGATTATGTTCCTACCCTTCTTTTTAAATCTCTATCAGTGGCAATACTGTTGAATCGTACGTAGAAAGAAATAGAAGCTTTTAAAACATAAAGATTTATTATAAAAAAAAGTACGAACAAACTGCTACTAGTAAAAGAAAACTAACTATTGTTATTTAAGATAATGTTAGAATTAAGTGAAATCAAATTAATGGATTCAATCCATGGTGACATGAAAATCTTGCCGTCTTTAAAATATCTACATTACATTTTGAGAGATTTTTACCTATTGTCGATTGTATTGAAACAACCAAAAAAGAAAACAATTAAAAATAATCAAACTAATAGAAACAGTTCATTCTAATTTCAGACTTGTCTTTGCATGATTGTTTAATTTTCATAAGATAATTTGTATAATGACAAAATATTAAGTTTGAGTCACATATGCCCTCTTAGTGTGTTCTTCCTTTTTTATATAAGATGTTATTTCTTTTTTTGTTGATTGTCAAAGTATTACAATATAATCTGGAACATTTGGTTGAAGGGTAGAATATTCATTTATCTGTCCAACGAGTTCCAGATTTAAAGTATGATAGTCTGTATCGACATTTTCTTGAACATTTTCATATTCATGATCAGAGTTGCTAATCGGTGCAGGTTCCATGATTACAACTTTAAACCTGTGCCTACAAAAAATGAACACTAAACAATTGAAACAGCCTTTAAGTTATGAAAATGTGAGAGTTCCCGTACAGTAAAAGTGAAAATGTCCTTTTTTTAAGACAAACATCGTTATAAAAAATGCAAATTTCCAAATCTCTAACTCACAGACTTTTATCACTGTATAGTGTACTTTTACTCTTAAATGAATTAACGTAAGCTTTAGTTAGCATTTACTGATTGTGGACACTAATAAGAAAATGTATCGTAAAGTTAAAGGAGGTTCGAGTCCCCGTAGTAATTGAAAAAACGTTCTTAACTGGAGTCCTGAATACAAATATATATTTGTCTGAATATTATTGTTTCAATTTTTATTGGGTAATTTTTTTATCTTATATCTAATACTCTGTCATTCAAACTTTGATGTATAATCATTAATAGTAATACATGTAGTTTAGCTTTTTTACAGAGTTACTTTTGTATCTTATCTATACACAATACAATGGAAAATATCATTTGACGAAATATTACAGATTTTCTAAACTGAAGCAGATTTATAACTTGTTGCGATCGTTTCATCTCATATGTTATACATGTTTTACAAATGTATGTATGAATTAGTTGAGTCGATGGACGCACTTATAGTTTCATCCATACTTATTTCAGTTATGATTTTTTCTTAGTAAGCTTATATATAAAAAGAGGTTATATTATCAAACGCATCTTAATGAGAAAATGATCAAGGCATTTTGCAGTTTGTTGTATTTGCATCATCATATATTAGTTATCTTCTTCGAGGTTGTACAGTTGGGTGCATACAAAGCATTACAGTAGCAAAGCGCACGTTAATACTATGTGCGCTTAATTCGTTTATTTTCCATTTGTTTAAAAAGATGATTTAGTCAAACGTTTGATTCTGCAAGGTTAACGGACCACCCGCTTTTTAAATTTTTCGTGGAGTTCTTTGTTATTAATTTGTTTATCCGTTTAATCGGTGGTTATATGGCAATTTTCCACTTCTATTTTCTGACGTACACTTACAGGCAAACGCATTTTTACGTTTTGCGTAAGCTATTTTTGTAAATTATGCATTCATAACAATACAAAATCAAAAACTGCAATTTCAAAAATTCGCTTCCAATAACATTGCCAATATTACATAAATAAGTATCGGTTCACAGAAATGTTTGAACATATTATGTCAAAATCAAATACATGCACTGCACATGTAAAATGATGTGTAATACAGTACCACACATGTATCATGAGTAAGTGGTCAACATTTGTTATTGTATATTCTACAGGATCATGCTTCAGGAAATAAAAAAAAATACAAATCATAGAATTTTTTTGGGACCATGTAATTATTTTAAAATCCATGCTGTAGCCTATTGCCATGTAGCATCATTCGATCAATACGGAGTATATATCTCCAAGTTGATACGATATTACATGGCTTATATTTCCTATTATGATTTTTCTTGATTTTCCTTTTTCTCACAAGGAAGCTATTAAACCAAGACTTTCAAGTGGTTAAGTTTAAAATCATCCCTTCGTAAATTTTACGGACGCCATCACGAGTTGGTTGACCATTATGAATACGTTTTACAGATGACGACGGATATGTTCCAATTGTCGCAACAACAATCACGTTCCATTTTCACCAAATCTGACATACCGAATTAGATTTATCACTGGGTTTGTTCTACATGAGCAACACCACGGGTTCCACGTGTGGATCAGGATCTGCTTACCCGTCCACATCACCTGTGATCACCCGAGTTTTTGGTGGGATTCGTGTTGTTCCGTCTTCTATGTTAGTTTTCTATGTTGTGTTTTGTGTCCTGTTGTTTGTCTGTTGGTCATTTTTCCTTTTTAGCCATTACATTGTCAGTTTATTTTCGTCTTTATCGTTTTGAATGTCCCTTAAGCATTTTTCGCCACTCGTTTTATTTATCTAAAAAGTTTAATATTGATCAATTTATATAAAGATTCATGTATGTTTTTTATAATTAGCTAATCTAGTTTCAGATTTTGAAAGTATTTACATCAAAACTATATTAAAAGTCTAATTCGAAATTAGAAATTATATTGTCTTAGAGACAAATGAAGTGGTCATGCAGATCAAATTAATGTATTCAACTATATCCAATAATGTTAACAAGTTAAACATGATGTTCAAATACATGCACTTTTCTTTGAGGCAAAAGTAGTTACACGAACAGCATGGTGAATTTGTGCACGTTGTTACAAACTCTTATCTTACACGTATATTCCAACGACATGTGGCAATCAACTTATTTATAGAAAATTGTTAGATGTTTTTTTAAGAACATGTGCAAATGTGAAAGAACAATTCATTTGATGATGAATTTTATGATGACTTCCTTCTGACCTGTTTTTTTTGTGTAGGTATTTCATCTGTCACGTATACCTAACACATTTGAAACTTTACGTGTCAATGATGATTAATATTGTGCGTTTAAATTTGAGAGTACATACTTAATTATAACGCAATGCTGAGAGATTCGTCAATTGTGTCATGTTGTTGATTGGGACAGTCTATTCAGATATTTTCCTTCAATTACGTGAAATTAAACGTTGAAGTGCCGTTGTTCTAGACAAATTATATAATAGTTAAAAAATGGTAACCAGCGTGATATAGATCATGTAGGTATACATATTCTATATATAAGAACGACACATTTTAAAACAAAACACGAGCAGTAAGAAAATCTTTACATAATCTAACCTTTCGTAGATGTTCTTAAAGCTATGTTATAGAATACACGAGTTATCGCTAGAAACACATACTCTATATTGTTAATCATTTATACCTTGACGTATATTAACGAGAATGCAATTATTAAATCAAATATTATATAAACATTCTGAAGAGATCTTTGCATGTAAATTTAATTTCAAGTATAGCATGATAACAATGGACAGTTGAACCTTTATATAGGCTTCAAAGTACAATGAAGTAAAAGGGCAGTAGACGATAAATTCATATTTATCGATTCGACTCAAATTCTTGAATTATTTAAATTACAAATAGTATTATAGGTCTGGAACAATTAACAATGCACGGACTCAATTAAAATGATTCAGCATTTCGTGTGGTTTTTAGAATAGACGTCATCAAATTAACCATCGACATGATATCCGATCTCGAGTAGGTCATATGACCTGATGTGAAAAAAATTAAAGATATAATTACACAGACGACATCGTGCAATCTTATGAGGACGAATTTTACAGGTCTGTTTGATTATTGTTAGAAAATATCTGAATCATCGTTTTTTCTTGTTTCAGTTTTCAATATTGACATTCTTTTCTTATAAATAACAAATCATGATTCGCATATGAGTAACATATCTCCAGCTAAGGTCAAATTGAAGTTTGCGTGAATACGGATTCAAATGAGGTTGTCTTATTGACTTGCGAGACAAAAAACATCAGGGACGTTTTTTTTAGCCTAATTTGACAAAATTTAATGAACAAACTTCTTGTAACGAAATATTTTTTTCCATAATTTCGCTTTTATGAATGTTCGAATCAAAAGAAATCAGACTTTGCATGTTTTGATTTTTTTGTAAACTTCATGAATAATGCCTCTTTTAGAAATGACTGGTTTAATTGAATTACATTGCCACACTGTAAAACTAATTCATCTGAAGCATAAAATTCAACAACATTGAGTTAAAGTGCACATTTTCTATATTTTGTGTACTTACAATAAAATATTGAACCAGTGTAAGTTTTTTTATCTATATTAATCATCGGCTTTTTAAAAATCTGTATTAAATGCATAACCATTAACTAAATTATCGAGCGTAACTAAACGGTCAAAGTCTTTTAAGAATGCTGGAAGCAACAACAACGATCTTACCTTCTGATACAGACTGCTAGAACTATCAATAGTATTAGCAACATTGTCAATGCCACTGCTATTCCAACAAACATACTAACTAAATAAGATATAAAACAGATTATTGCTTTATAATATACGTTAAATAGATATTTAACAGAAAATGTACAGTGTGTTTTTTTCAAACTTCTAATTTGATCAGTATGATACAATTACATGGTATCGATGTGGTTGAACCGACACAACTATCAAATTAACTTTCAGCCAAAATCGTCCATCTGATAAGCAGACCTAGGTCAGCTAGATGTCAAAGCAATACATAAAAGTTTGTCTCTTAAATGTAATTTATTAAATGGTAATTACTTTTGTTTTAAGAATTTATCATAAACTTAGACAAAATGTGAACAAACTTGTATGAAGCTTTTTTAACATGCTCTGTTTAGCATTGAAACATTTATAGAAGCCTTGTTTTAAGTTTTAAGTTTGTAAATTTCATTTGAATATATAATCATTGTTAGATATATGTTTCAAATGCATCTGTCATTTGATATTATCTCTTACAAGATATTTGTATAACATGTCTTTCCATAAATGATTATAAATGATAGTGTGTGTTTTTTCTATTAAATCATTTCTGATATATAATTTGTTTTTGCTTTTTGTTGTTTTCTTTTTACTTTATCGTTGTTTTCTTTTGAAATATTATGTTTTGTCAAATTAAAAAAAAAACTATATTGGTACGATACATTCATGCTCAATAACAGTTTGCACAAATACAATTTATTTTTATATGCAAATTCATTTTTTTTAGTTTGCAGGGAAGAATTATGTACTGCCTTTGGTTTAAAATCAAAGGACATCATTAATAGTTAATTTAAAAGTGAAAAAGAGAGAATGATTATAGTTAATGGGTAATATAACATGTTCACAGATTGAATGTCAATATTGTGTTTTGAATTTTTTATCATTTATTTTTAAATGTGTAGAAATGAACGTTACCAAAAATGCAAATAAATATTATCAGCTCACAATGCATCATTAAATCGTATAAGTATACAAAAAATCGACAAAACTCTTTATTTTATTGCCAGATGGTTTCCTATAATATCAACATACACACATACATGCATATTGTTATGACTATAAACGTAATAAACCGTTTGTAGTCAGCAGTAATAATCATAAAATAATATTTCAATTTATATATATAGCAATGTACCTTTCAATTCCTCTGTTTCATGTTCGTTGGTCTTTGGGATAACAACTGTATCTATAAATTATTTGTTTTCTTATATATATTTTATCATGTTTATATTTGCCAATAATTTTACAAAAGATAAGATAATTATGGAAACATTAATATTAGGAGGCAGTACATTTTGCGTCTAAGGGGACTATGTAAATTCACCAAACGTAACATATTGATGCCATTATTTCTTATCGCAGTTTTTAGACATCAACAGAAAAGTGTTTTTTTGCAAATATGAGTATCAACCAAGCCGGGAAGTTAAATTTAAATGTGACGTCCTTATGGTGTGTCATCATCCTCATTTGAAGACCCGTTTGCCTAAATTAACATAAAGCACATGCGTCGACCAAAAAATGTTTTTATGAACTACGGTACTGCTCTAGTTATTCATCAGCATCTACAAATCAAACTGTGTTTTTCAACCAAAACGTCTATGCTTTTTTAAATAAATAGTTAGAACTTTTGATTCAGAGTCTTTTGGTCTGAGTTTTGACTGTTTCTTTCGGTCTTCTGTTTTGAAATAAAAAGCCTTTTAAAAGACTGTTTTCAATTGAAAGTAAATAAATAACAGAACTTAAACAGTGAAAATGATAACAGGTCTGTGTCGGTTTATTTGAAAGATACAATCAAATGAAAATTTTGCGGGAAATTATTTTTCTGTTTTTTTTTTCCAATATTTAACATTGGTACCTTTTTTCTTTAAAGAAAACTACGAAAATATAACAAGGATTGTATGAAATTTTCAAAAATAGCTTTTTCAACGATATATAATAAAATGATAAAAACAAAAGAAGGGGTTAACGTTCAATATTTTATTGGCACTACATGGATTAAACTTAAAGTTTCGAAATATCTGACAAAAAGTTAAGAACATTAATAGAGAGCATTCATAGGATTGACGACAACTTGAACATTCTCAAAGCGACATAACTTTGATAAAAAGTATAACAAAAATACCAAACTCCGAGGTAAATTCAAAAAAGGAGAAGTCAACAAAAACTGACAAAATCAAACGTTAGACTAAATCAACCAATAGAACGAATGGAAACACATTTGTTTACATATACCATTATCATGATTATTCTCCATGCGTTCTGGACAAAAGCATTGAAATATTTTGTTGGTAAAATTACATTAACATTTGCAATCAAAAAAATATTAAAAATAACAAAATTATGAATAAAGAAGTAAACGATATTTCAGTTTCACACAGTAAGTCTTTACAAAAAATACGATTTCTTGTGACGCATAAATATTTTTTTTTTAATTATTTGGAGATAAAACTTTACGTATAAATTGAATGAATGCGCGGATCGAGTGGGCCGATAGAATGCTGTAAATTTTTAAAGGTTAAATCGAATTAAAGTAAATAGATCTTAGAGTTAAAAATAGATATCTAGGTTTGATATTGAATTTAATAGTAAATATGAGTTTATACTATAAACAATAAATAATGTATTCTTGTTTCGCTAAGCTTTAGTTTTTAACATTTGCTTTGCTATATTGTTACTTTTTGTGCTTAGTTGCTTTTTGATTTAAACAAGCACGCAGTTTACGTTTTTGTGTAGTTTATGTTACCAACACAAGTATTGTTTTAATGATAAATAATAGACATTGGTAGGAGACAGCTTACGAGAACATGTACTATAATTTAAAGTCTGGGTATAGCTGTAATTGAGACAAGTAATTGCTATGGTATCCATATCATATATTTTGCTACTAGATGCATATGTATGCAGCTACATAAGTTTGCATGTTAATGAATTACGAACATTAGTTTTAATTATTATTACTTAGTAAAACAGATTTATCTTTCTATAACTTATAAGTACATTTATATTTTACAGGGCTGTATTTACATATCCATTATAGTTACTTCGTTTCGTCTGAATAAAAGTTACAGAACCCTAGATTGCAGTTATTCATTTATTACTAAAAGCCTGAAGAATCCGGCTTTTACATATATAAAACTGATATATTGTTAAGTCATGAATTTCATTCTGCATCACTTCCCAAAATAGCAAGAGCAAGTGCATTGACAGGTTTAGCGTCTCATGATATACATGCATCATCTGTCATAAAAGTCAAAAAGTCGTAACCTTAGCTTCACGTGTTTAGTTCTTATATATCCCTAGCTTCCAAATGTTTCTGTTCTTCTACAATTACTAACGCCCATAGATTACCCAACTATATACACAAAACCATAGGCTAGTAAATGCTAATAAATAACAAACTAAAGTTTCAAATTGAATACCCACACGACAGTGCCATGCACTGAGTTTAATTGCACATTTTGATTCATAATATCATGCCGACAAAATATAGTCAGTAATTTATAAATACTACTGAAATCAAAACATTAAATATAACATCAAATAAATTCACATAAGCAAGATAAAAATTTTAACTGTGAAACACGTCTGTTCGAGTAGGCCCTGTCGTGCTGAATGGTTATATCCCATGAAGCGCGGGAAAACAAATAACGGTCTATGGGCAGACAATTAGAAGAAATTAATTTCAATCTAAATCAATTCCTTAAAACGGTTGAAATTACATGTCTTGTACAATTACTAACTCCCAAAGACTACCCACTCTATACACATAACCACAGCCTCGTAAATTCTAATAATAACCAAACTTAAGTTTTAAATTGAATACCCACACGACAGTGCCATGTGCTGAACTACAAAGAACGGGCAATACAATTATACAATTTTCATCTTGCTTATAGAATTTAATTCACTTTGAAAAGAGTCAATATCAGGTCATAAACCTAAATTTTCAGAAACAATTAATCTATCTTTTAAAGAGTCTTGAATATAACCGTCCTTGGCGGTCTTTGAACGCCATCTACCACGTCTTTTAAAAAATCGATCGGAAATGCCTAAATTAGCGCAAGTTGTAGCTCCACAAGAACAATAACTGTGCAGTCCATATTTCTTAATATCTTACCCAAAATGTTGAAAAGCTCCAATGAATAATTCTCTCATACGTGTGTAAGACAGAGGTTTATTATCCTTCCGAAGTTTCTAAAAAATAAATTCTTCTGAATCCGGCGAAATATCAGCCCACAAAAAATACAACTTTAAATTCTTTACTGGACACATGTATCAATCCATACAGGCTATTACTACAGAATTGCCATCACGATAAATATTGGTTTTACTTTTCGGAATAAATATAGATACATAACCTAATTCAAACCTAATATCACATTTCCGTATATTTAATAGCTCGGACACTCTCAAAAGTCCTGAATAAACAAATAAACACGCGCAAATAATACGCTATGACATAACATTATATTCCTTAAATAAAGAACTATACATTATAGATAGGAGCTCAGGAGTAACTGGTTCCTTTTTCTCAGTTCGTGTAGCTTTTCATTGATACATTGATGTTGAATGTTGAGCAAAAATATCAACATGGTGATAAGCTGAGTGAACATCAAACTTAAACATAGAATAATTAAATTTAATATGCTGTTGAGCAGTCCTCATATCCTCAAATTTAACGCTCTGTTTCCATAAATGTTTATTAACCGCTCTCAAATCAAGTATCAATCTTTTCCTTGAATTAGATTGAACTGGTACAGTAAGAGGATTAACAACAAAAGGTCGTTTGTCACACTAAACTATTAAACCTCTATGTAATAAATCCTGAATAGCTGTATGTACAAAATCGGAATTATTTAAAGCTGATAAATTGTTATATAAATACGTAGACGGAGAAATAGAATGAAATGGTATCTTATAACCATCTCTTATATTGTCAATAATATAGTCATACACTTTAAGCACCAATATTTATCCAAAATTGGAAATTTTCCTTCAGCTTACCCTTAACAATAATATTAGTACCATCTTGCTCATATTCGAAATAGTCATGTGCAAAAGTTGGTGCATACAAATTTTCTGAAGAACTTGTCTCTAAATTATACTCATCTTTTACAAAATCAGTTTCTTTTGTGTGATGCTGCTGTTTTGTTGTTTTTGGAAGGGGTAGTTAACTCTCCAGTGCCTGTAGGACCCACAGTTGAAGCATGGTCCCCGTTGAAATTTTCCAGCGTACTAGTCTTGGGCATACTGGAAACCTCCATACCAAGACGGCTGGCCCCTCAAAAGGGCTGTTGAGGATTGAAACTAGGGTTAGCGTTGGCAGGAATTTGCCGTTGTTTAGCTGCTGGTTTATTCTTTGCCTTTTTCTTCCTAATGACCCTGTTTTCAGCCTTGATATTCTTGAATTCATCTTCTGACTCACTAGCAATTGGGTTTGCCTCGTACTGGCGAGTGGTATCCCATCCTCCATCAGAAGTATCCGCGATCTTTGTTAACTTGTTCCTATGTTTAAGCCTCTCAGTACATGATGCAACAATATCTCTAACGTATTCCAACTTTGCCATTGTCAATAGCCCAAAGAGCTTCAAGATTTTCAGTGTTACAATTGAACTGTATTTTGTTACCTTCAGAACGCCACTTGTAATGAGAGTCCGACTTCAATTTCTTGACCTGAGACTTCATACATTGGTTTGTGCCATGGATTTCGTCGTGCAAACTATTTACTTTTCACTGATTTTGGTGTCCACAAGAACTTCAATTTACTGCTTCTAAAACTGTCCGCAAAGATATTTTTCAGAGGGTTTATCTGAATCCATGTTTGCTATTAACTGTGAAACACGGCTATTCGAGTCGGCCCTGTCGTGATGAATGGTTATATACCATGAAGCGTGAGAAAACAAATAACGGTCTATGGGCAGACAACTAGAAGAAATTAATTTCAAGTGAAGTGTTATTTTTCATTACTAGTATTTGGTATAGATATAGATTTGGTATGTGAGCTAGGTAGTCCTGTTTTTACAAACAAGACATCACATACTGTTTTAACTGATAATAAGTCCGTAAATTTAGATATGACCATATAAACTAATTTGTTCTTTGAGTAAAATTGCTCAGAAAGGTTTCGAATGTAACAATGCACCAAATATTACGTCTCTCAGAACTACAAATGGTTTTACTTTAAATAATCAAACACAAAAACATATTTATTTCTATACAGTTATAAAAATGAACCCTTATTGTTTTGCAGCCTGTGAATACTTATACGTTTGTTTTGCACTGTATCTTTACATAACATTGTTCGATTTGTTCTGATTGATATTTTAAAGTTCAAAAAATGTGTATTAATTTGTTGTCATAAGATCTGAACAAGCTTCCTGTAACTGCGAGTACTCGTAAATCCGTTCTGTGAGTCTTTTGATGTTGCTTAAGCCGATTTTGTGGTTCAAGATTTTTCCACTGATTTTCACACTTTGAACTTTTATTTTGACATATAACTGCTAAAATCTCTGTCATTTGGTCTCCGGCGGAAAGTTGTTTCATTAGCAATTTTACCACATATAATTTTTAATGAAGATATATTTTGCGGCTATTTAAATATATTCCAACAGAGTTGACAATACGTGTTTCAATTTGGTGGTTTTTTTTTTTACTTATCTTATCTGATCTAAGAGAAATGTATTTAAGATTTTAAATTTTATTAGGCATTAAGAAACATACTGGTTTTAGTAAAATGACAAGTGTTTCTCTAATAGTTGTCATCAAAATTGACAGTTATAATCTAATACACTGTGCTTTAATCTCTATTTACCTCACCTTTACAAAATATAATATTAAAAAATAACATAGATTTTACATATTCATAATTCAAATTTTGGATTGAAATTATAAGGTCTTTAAAAAAAAAGTTACTAGTGACTTTGAAAAACGAGTTTGTTTATATAAAGAAAAAAAATGATGAAAGATATAATTGAGTAACTTGCCCATGACGTCTTTCTGACAAAGAGAATGATACTCATTGTCACACTTTTGAGCTGTTAGAATGTACTTGAAATCTTTTGTGAGCTTCATTGCTAAACAACTGTATCCATTTTTCTTATACCTATCAGTTGGAATATCTAAATGAAAACAAAATATTTTAAGATGCGAATATATGTAGGCACTCAAAACGTTTTGTAAAAGGACGAACACAGCGTATAGTAGCAATTTTCAAATTCATTTATTACGTTTTAATAGCATGCATGTATTTGACATAACGATGTTCTATAGTTCAGACATTTCTCTTGCTTTCTTCAATGTCTATTATCACAACGTCCGGTACTTGTTAGTTTACTGTGAAAAGCAATACATTCGGAATTTGCCATAAGTTGACTGGGCAATATTGAATGGACTATAAACGAAATATCTGCACGTCAATGAATATACAGACATAATTATATTTGTGAAAAGTAATTCAAATTCCTTTTAAGATGTCCTATTATAATGGTTTAAATAAAGGCAACAGTAGAACACCGCTGTTCAATAGTCATAAATCGATTAAGCGAAAACAAATCTGGGTTACAAACTAAATAAAGGCAACATTAGTATACCGCTGTTCAAAAGTCATAATTCGATTGGGAGAAAACAAATCCTGGTTACAAACTTAAACCGCGGGAAACACATCAACTAAAAGAGGAAAACAAAGGAGCAACAGAAACACTGAAGTGCAACAAAAACAAACGCCAACATGCATAGAAACGAACTATTTGATAACAACTGCCATATTCCTGACTTGGTACAGGACATTTTAAGAAAAAATGGTGGGTTGAACCTGGTTTTAAGGCTAGCTAAACCTACGTGACAGAAATACAGCACAAACAAACGCAAGAACAATCATCACAGAGAAACATACAAATAAATAATATAATAGTCGTTACAACAGCTAAACCGCAGAATAACAGCGAACATCTTCCATTAACAACAGCACAGGACACCAAAAACAGTGACGTATTTTTGTAACGAATATAAATCTTGAAATTCATACAATTATTTTCACAATACTAGTCCAAACAATTATCATGATAATGACGGTATTGAAAGGCTATTTTAAATAAATGCTGTGACGACGTCATAATTATTCGGACTAACACAATAATGTATCCATTGAAAATGGAAACTAACTCGAATATACTGACAAATAAGACATATGTGAAATGTACCGATAATACAGACTTCTAACCACAAACGATAAGTCATAACACATTTTCCAACCGAAATTACAACAGAAACATCATAAATAAATACATGAATGTTGGATGTATAAAAATACCGAGACACATCGTATAGCAATGCAAATTCACACTCGGCAAAACAGTCATATTCGGGAATAGGTCACGTTCGGTACTTAACAGACAGACGACATAGATGTTAAACCACAATCTAAGAAGTGGTAAAAATGTCTTTAGTTAGTTTAGACATAGACACATCGTATAGATCAACCAATTCGTGATGGTGTCCATAAAATTTACGGAGTGTCATGTTTAATCTTTCCTCCTCATAACTCTGTTGGAGCAGTTTCTGCGTAAGGAGCACACTCCTGTATATGAGGTCCGTATAGTGTGAACATGCACGAGCATAACGTATCATTTGAGATATGTAAACACCATACGACGGAGCAAAGGGTATGTTACTGCTGAAAAATGGGAAATTGATAAATCGGAAGTTGAAATCATCCCTTTTGTCATAAATTTTAGTGTGAAGTCGTCCATCTGTGTCAATATGGAGGAAAAGATCAAGGTATGAAGCAGTCCTTCTTTTATCAGTAGTATCCTTAATGTCAAGTTCACTGGCATATATGAGATGCAAGTACTGACTGAAATATGGGTTATTCAGTGAAAGGACATCATCAGTATATCTGAAAGTAAAATTAAAGAATTTGAAAGCTACTTTTTCTTTTTGTCTTTTAGAAGGTTCTGAATGAATTCTGCTTCATACGAGTACAAAAACAAGTCGGCCAGAAGGGGTTCACAATTAGTATCCATTGGAATACCGACTGTCTGTTGAAATATCAATCCTCCAAACTCAACAAATATATTGTCGATTAAAAAGTCCAGCAGTTTGATAGTACCATCTTCAGTGTATTTTCTGATAGATTCAGTGTGGTTCTTCAAAAAATAAGAATTATTATAACCCAAAACAAGAAATTTATATCTACGATTCCCATTTTTATAGAAAAAGCTCTGTTTAATGAGATGATGAAGTCGATCTTTCAATTGAGCATGGGGAATAGTAGTATAAAGCGTAGAAAAAACAAAGGTCTTAATGTTGCTGCAAAATTGCAGAGATTGTGATCTAAGATTTAGCAGTAGATCTTTAGAATTTTTAAGAAACCACATCTGATTGACACCACTGGTTGAATATATCTCATCACAATATTTTTGAAGGCCATCTTTTACTGTAGAAAGAATAGTAGTCAACACTTTAGAAAGATGTTTAGTCGAACATCTTGATGATCCAGCTATGTATCGTTCTTTATACGGAGTTTTGTGAAGTTTTGGTATCCAGTATAATGACGGTAGATTTTCTTCGTTTTCTTTGATGTTAATACCAAATGAAAGGACAAATTTGTGATTTTGTAAAATTTCATCCTTTGTAAATGATGTTAAAGAATATGTAGGATTACCAGTTGTGCTGTTTATTCCAAGCTCGTTTGTGAAACATTGCAGATAATGGTTTTTACATACGAAGACATTATTATTGGAGGCTTTATCTGCTGGTTCAACGACATATTTGTCATGCAAAGAGGATAAAGCTTCCACAACCTCCGGGTTCTTGAATGGGTTAGAAACCCTTGTGCTCATGGTATATTGTAGTTTTTGAATGCGCTTCTGAATGCATGATCGAATAGCTTTTATCCATTCAGACAAAGTGTCCAGTTCTGGTTCGTCTGGTTTGCGCTTTGTCCATTTTCTAGTATAGTTCTCAACTGCATCCATCAGTAACCTGAAGTTCTTTTTCCAGTTGATGGGCTGGGGAATTCTATATTTTGGTCCCTTGGCTAAAACCGAGGGAAACACATCAACTATAAGAGGAAAACAACGGAACAACAGAAACACTGAACTGCAACAGAAACAAACGACAACATACATAGAAACGGACTATTTGATAACAACTGCCATATTCCTTACTTGGTACAGGACATTTTAAGAAAAAATGGTAACATCTAAAGATCAACATTGCCATTCTATACCATATGTCATTTGTTAATGATTATTAATCTCTACATTATCTCTCAGGGTGGGAGAAGAAGAGAACCATATATTAGGATAATCATATTTTGAATTTATTATAAGTATGTTAAAATTGATTTCTACGGTAGTATTATTAACATATAAAGTACCTGCATTCCAAACAATCCTCTCCTTAACGAATCTATTGTGCCATAGTTTATCTGCAAATCTATCGTTATTTTCACACTTGTTGTTCAAAAGTTGAATATA